TTTGAAAAAAATATATAAAATAATTTTGTTTTAATTACATTTCAGTTAAAGTCAATTGTTAATTATATTTTATTATTTGTGATACTTTTATTTTATCCTTGGAAAAAAAGAATGAGTTTTGGGCCAATTTTGTGTCTTGATGGGTCCAATCTTAGGCCCATTTTCGGAATTTTCCCTTAGCCCATACCCCCCCACTTCCCTAAAATGACCTAATCCTTAACCTTTCTTCTTCAGACACTAAATAAAAAAAACTAATCCTCTTAACCAAATACACAGTCGCCGTCGCCACCTCCTAAAACCAGCAACAGCTGGCCGGCCGTCGGCCTCCCCCCGTCGTCACACCACCTTAACCACCCCAGAAGACCCTTCTCCTCCATCCCTAAAACACCAGCCAGCGCCCACCCACAAATGACCACCCCATCTCCACCTCTTTCCGCCGCCCAAACCTAACACACACAACACCAGCGACTGAACCTCTCCACCGCCAGACCCCAGCAGTTGCACCATCTTCTTCAGCCTTACTGTCTCCATCCATGCCACCAGATCTCGCCGCAAACCACCGTTGCTCAGCCCCAAAAATCAGCCGCGCTCCACCATTAACACCAAGAGGCAAAACTCGTTTTTACTACCATTTTTAGGTCAAGAGTTCAGAGAGCTCAAAGTTTCAGACTTTCAAAACTGATTTTCAGTTCGATTTCTAGCCAAGGAAAGGTCCGTTTGAGGTTGTCGTTCAGGTTTTGGTCGAGGTTTTAAGCTGTCTCTTTAATCCTCATTTTGAGCCCGATTCCTATTTTTTGCATATGTATTATTTTCTCCATTTGACCTTTTGTTGGAAGATGTTGTATTAATCAAATTTGGAATGGAAAGTTGCTCATTATACGATAGATTTTGTGTTTCAAATGTTGCACATGAAGATTTGGTTATATAGCTTTGTGTTTGAGCTTTCACCAAATTAAACTCGCTGGTTCGATCTCTACCGTTAAGCTCGTATTGGATTGTTAAATCAGAGGGTGCTTGAGTTTGTTGGATCGTGTCAGTTTCGATTTAAGTTCGAGGAGCACGTTCAGCTTAGATCTAATTAACGTCGAAAGGGTCCTTGCTCTAACTGAGGTTCAATTCTTCAATCCCCTATTCATTTTATTCTAGCTTAATGTTAATTGTTTGTTTGGTGGTTTGATCTTGTGATTTGTTTAATCATTGTCTATGGTTTTGAATCTGTTCATTTGGTTACCTGCTCGTATGTTACTCGAATTGGGTTATAGTTGAACATGATTTTATCACAGTATATAAATTGGGTTGTTGGGCAAAAATTAAAAGAAAATTTAGGTTCAAGATAACAATTATTGTTCTTTTATTCTTGTTTTGGTTGCTTTTCGAGTAGGAGCATGCTTAGGCCGTCATCACCTGGGTAGGCAAACTTTAGGATTTTGTTGGTTTTGAGGTGAGAGGTCGTTCCTTTAGTTAAATTCATCCGGGGAATGCCCCGAAGGATTTGTATATAATTTATTTCGGGGAATGCCCCGTAGTATTTTGTAATTGGAGGCCAAAAGTAGAACTTGTAGTGTTTTATTCTTGTTTTATTTTTCTTTATTAGGTGGGGAGGACCTCGAGTCTCTTATGTGTTAATTTTTCCATTTCTGTGTTTATTACTTCAATTCAAATATTTTAAAAGCCGACTAGATCAAGTATGCAACCAACTAGTTATGGGACTTGGGGAGTATCTAACACCTTCTCCCCGAGTCAAAAGAACCCCCTTACCCCAATCTCTGGTGTAGACTTAGTTTTGGAGTCCAAAGTGTTTTAAAAGTAAAATTATTTTTTAAAAAAAATGGTGACCTGGCACACCGAAACCAATGTCAGGTGGCGACTCTAAAAAGTCCTTTTGAACACAAATATTTTGTCACTTTCAATTTTGAAAACCCTTTTAGCTTTATAAGCCTTTTATTATTTTAAGAGGGGTTAGTGAGGTGAAAAAAGGGGTGTGAAATTACTCTTGTCTTTCTTCTTGTAGAACTCTTTTCCTTTCTTAGAATTTGGTTTGTTTCTTTTCTTGGAGGATCCTTCTGTGGTCTCCTTACCCTTTCCATCATTTTTCCAGTTTCTCTTGCGCTTGAAGCTTGATTTTTTTGTACCACTTGATTCTTCCACAAAGGCATTAGGTACAGCTTTAACAACACCAAGCCGCTCGTCTTCAAGCTCCACATGACGGGCAACATTAGCAAAAGTTTTGATGCTATAATTATGGGTCAAGTTAACCTTCAAATGTTCCCAATTATTGGTAAAAGACCGAATCACTGCCTGAACCTGTTGCTCATTTGAGAGAACATGGCCAACACTTTTGAGTTGAGCAATCATATTTGGCATCACCCTTCGATGTTGCTTGGCCCCATGGTCATGACGCTTTTTGTACGTGTCAAACTTGACTGTCAGCTGTCGAAGGTGAGTCATAGTTGTACACCCATATGCCTCTCTTAAATGTGTCCACATGGCTTGAGCAGTAGGATATTGCTCACATTCATGGATGAGATTACAATAATTCCACGTGCAGTGGAATCTTTCTTTTTCCAAATATTGTAAGTTTCCAGATCCCTCATGTGTTGGGCAGTGTTACCCTCATCTGGATGACTCATAACATGGTTAATACTTTCAAGAGCATCTTGCTCTTCGAGTACATATCACATCTTACGACTTCAGAAGTCGTAATTTTCACTCTTCAGTTTGTCACCCTTGTTCAAGTCAACAATGATACTTTTCGATGCCATGTCTGTTATTAGAGACAATATGACAAGTTTAACTCATCAATATATACTTCATTCAATTTATGCATGTGATTACACACTCAAGTAAATTAATTATAATATTAATTCTACATTTAGTATAGAATCGAACCGGCACTACGTTTCTATTCATCATCTATATCCAAATATTTTTAATTAATATTAAAATCACTTCTTAGTGTGTACTTTATTTCAAGTCTCAATCCATTACAAAAAAATATGATAAACAATGTATGTAACTGGTGAGACAAATTAAATAATTTAATTTTTATTAAGATAAAACAATAATAACAATTTACATGTTTGCTAGGACATACATGTACCAACCGAACACTAACTCTTGCTCATATATGTTAAAAGGTGCACTAGGCCAAACATCATCATAAATCTCAGTTAAAATTTTATCCCAAGGCTCTCGAAGAGAGTCCGCTAAAATACCTAATGCTTCCCAATCAGTAATTTCTATCTAATTAGCCAATTCGGCTCTTTTAACCTAAAAAGGTGTACATGTTCAGGAATGGAAGTATCAGGGATCATTTTAAATTCCTTAAACTCCCTAAATTTCTTTTCTCCTTCTCATCGTTCAGCCCTTTGATCCCTTAACTTATTGTCTCGCCCTTGGGTCATTCCTTATGACTTCAGGCTCCGAGTCTGAATCATTATAGAAATAAGCCATGCGACGACATACCCTTCTACGTTATCCCCTTCCTTGACTTCAAGAACTCCCACTTGGAGTAATTCGAACTTGTCCCTGTTCAGCCATATTTGAAATAGGACCAAGGAAACAATAAGAATGACTACAACCATCCAATGTGACAATATATGTCACAATAACTTGTAGAAGTATATCAATGTAAGGAATTAATGTTGAATTAATTTTTTATATTAAGTAGATAAAAACTCACTTTTTCAGTTTTAACAAGTGAAAGCATATTATGAGAATAGAATGCTTATGAACCAGAAACACAAATTTCACATGCCTAATTCAAAGCGAGAAAAGTCCCACATAGCAGGTACTTCAACCAAGTAATTCAATGGTCACATATTCCTTATTTATTTTGCTTTGGCTTAATACTAAATACATGCAAAATCATCAAGATACAAATACATATGGCAGATGTTCATATGTATATTTGGAGAACACGAGAAATTCACACGAAAAAAGGATTATAAATACTATTTACGCAACAGAATGCGTCGTTTAATAGATTTACATTCGGGCAATAACTGTTCATCTTTCATTTCAGGATATTCTCGTGCAGAGTTTCTGATTTACAGCCGCTTCGTCATACTTTTCTTTTTGATAAAAAAATTGCTTTGGAACAAACAACAACAAATAATGATTGGAGGCGAACTTTTTAACAGAGTTTTATATTATTACATGTTTAAAGAAACAAGAAACAACATTGGCTTTGATACCAATGTTATAATAAACCGAGGGGCGAGAACAACAAGTTGTGTACCTTTTTGACGCAGCAGAGTTCGTTGAACTCACTATCAAAAGAATTGCCCCAAGTCGAACTTTGAATCTCTTGGAAACAAAGTTAGAATTTCACTAACTAAGTGTCTTTTATCCTTGTGTGATTTTTTTGGAAGAAGAAGGAAGTTTCTGTTTTCTCTTTCTTATGTGAGAAGAAGGAAACTTACCTGATATATATATAAAAGAGAAGTTAACCCACATTCAAAAACTGATTAACCCCATCACTATTTAACTGTGTATGATGTGTTTTTTTTTAGTAACTTTCTTTTACCTTATCTCTTTTAGATGGGTCGGGTCAGCCCACATGGAGCGACCTGAGATCCAAACTCAATATCCAACAACTCATATTGACGAGAGATAAATGCTAATTAATCTAATGACTTATAATTAATGGTATAAATTTCTTAATAAGTAATGTTAAAGCTCCATTTAAAAAAGACCGGAGAGCATAAGATTTAAGTGATCATGTCTAACTCTTCAACACAATTCTACCAACCAAAACGACTTCCGTTGAGTGGTTATGTCTAGAAACGATTAGCTAGGGGAAATTACAGTCCATTTTAGTATAGTCACGGCTCTAGCCACAAGTTAACAAATTCACGTGAAGCCGCTAAAGACAATTAAAGCTGGGGCCGCGTAATTAAACAAACGGCTTCATTCATTACAACTACTTTTGTTCATTAGCTAAGCATTATCGCTTCAATAATCTATATACTTACTAAATTTTGAAAAACAACGCCAGCTTGAAAAAACCAACAGCTATCGTAACCTTTCTTAAACTCTCTACGCCTGCTTAAACCTTCTTTTTATAAATTGTTAAATCTCTCTCCTCGTCCTGTCGAAGCCAAATTTAGTTCACATTTTCCAAGAAAATTAAAATTGTGTCAACAATATATGCGACAGTACTTCCTCCGGCTATCGTTGCCGGCGGCAATGTGGAATCTCCGGTCTCTCTCATGCTTATTGTTGCTCTGCTTTTCGGTCACGACAGTTGCTGCTCAAAGAACTAACAGTGAAACTACTAAATGGCTAACATTAAACGGTAACTTACTTTTCTACTTCTTCTCCTCTGTACTTAACTACTACGTTGCTTAGTAGCTCACTTTCCACAATTGGAATGGTTTCACTTCAGTTTTGAGTCTGTTGATCAATGAGCTGAATATTCTACTAGATTTACAATACATAGGAAATTTAAATTTTTCTACATTAACCCCCGAAGTTTGCTTTAGCGCTAGTGTAACCGAAAGAAATTCTGATAAAAATCTTAGGATGCTTTAGAGTTTTTTCACTTAAGATGTGTTTGGTACCAAGGAAAATACTGGAATATTTTCTGGTATTTAGTTAGTAAGCATAAAATATTGTTTCAAGAGCATTTATATATTTTTTGATAATCTATGCAAGCACTATGGGGGTGGGGTGAGGGCATGGGTGGTGTGGGTGTCGTGTGGGGNGAGAGTAGACAATAAGTGTGGATGGACACTTATGCAACTTATTTTGCTGAAGAAAATATTTTCCAAAATACTTTAACCAATCAAACATGAGAAAATTAGAAAATATTATTTTTCCTCCATCTCAAACACACCCTTAGAGTTTAATTTCTATGGAAAGTGTAAAATATCATTAGATCACCTAAAAGGTAAAGGAAAATAACTCTATTTTAATACCATCGGTTAATAAGATAAGATAGAATAAATGGTAAGTAACCTACTATAACATGTTAAATTACACTAACGATGTAAAGAATCTATTGCACTGATAACGTATATACCTTAAATCTTTTTACTAAATAATTTATAATCGACTTAGTTGAGCTGAAGCTAAAAGCAGGATCAACCATGTTACTGGTACCTGTATAACTGATCCCTTGAGAATAGCAGTAATGTAAATGTACAAGAGGAGCTACTTGTGCCATAAAACTTTTGCCATTACTGGTTTTTGATATGATGCTAATGACTAAATATTGGTGATAGAGAAGCCTAATATTGGTTTCACTATAACCAAGAGCTCAAAAACCAAACCAATTTTTGCGAATTGACCTTCTGGTTCTGTTGCTTTGTCCTGGGATCTGTAGATTTTGGGGTTCGTTTCTATGATATCATTTCTTCAAACAACTGGAATGAGAGTTCTCCTTTCATTAGAAACTGAACGCAGCCTTTTGGCTCCCCCAAAGAAGAATTAAAAGAACGAGACCCCCGAGTATGAGGAAGGACACTAAACAGAGTGAAAAGATTAATCCATTAGCTTTCCACATATTGTTTACAATGTTTCACAATCATTATAGTGTTTTTGTCTCTGCTTTGCAGGAGATGCACCATTAGTTATAGCCCTTGGTGGATTTTCTGGATTATTTCCTGATTCAAGCTATGATGCCTATATGGTGGCAATGGAAACTAGCTTGGCCAATGTGATTGCTTGGTGTGATGTCCAACTAACCAAAGATGGGGTCGGCATCTGCTTACCTGATCTCAAGCTTGACAATGCTTCTGACATTGATGTGTACTTCAAAAACAAGGAGACTAAATACTCAGTGAATGGAGTTCCAATGCAAGGATGGTTTTCTATAGATTTCAACTTCAAGGATTTGGCGCCTGTCACCTGTAAGTTTTAACTTATGGGATTTGGTTGTGTCGTTCACCAGTATGTTCCACATATCATGGTGTGCAACTCCGCATGGCTTTATGTGCAAGATTCTGGAATTAATGTCCAAGAATAGCGATTATGCTGAAACATCCACTCCTATGTTTTGAATAATATAACAAATTAATTGTAGGCGCTTCAGATTCGTTATCTTAAAAGGTTACTCAGATTCTTCTTTCTTCCTTTTTTCTGCTCTAAATAATTTGGGTTTCTTAGAGGAAAGTGGAATCTGTAGTTAGCATCAAAACAGATCTATAGCTTTGCTAATTTTTGGTGCAACTGGGCTATTGCAAATGACATAGAATGCCACGGTTGATTTCTTGAGCTCATTACGCTTCTGTAATGTAGCTATCCCTTGTAAATATTTTACAGCACTTACTTGTTGCTGTATTTCAATGAATTACTTTTACCAATCAAAAAATAACAATAATTTGGAGTTCTGCCATGTTGGTTTTTCTTTTTCTTCCCCGAAATGGCATGTTGACTCCACATGATGTATTTCTTTGCTCATCACTGATAGAGGAACTCTTTGATGAATTGCAATAAAAAGAAGGTGTGGATGATTGTATCAAACATAACCTTTTCTAGGTTTATTAAGATTTAGTGTGGCCACATCTTTCTAAAGTGGACTCCTCGGTGAAATGTGAATTGGCATGATTGTAAGTTGCTTGAGATTATAATATGCTAGTAATTGTAGTAATTAATCCAGTTGCATACCTTTTACTCTTCACATGATTTTTATGTCTAAATCAAAGACATGAAAGCCAGTAATGGTGCCTGATAACCCGACTTTTTAGACAAAAACCTGCCGTAAATTTTAAAATTGGTATGGCATATTATGTTGGTTATATAATCTAGAGAGCATAGCCTAGTTAGAGATGTTAAGCCTATTGCTTTGTGCTTATACAAGTTACTTACGGTGACTGAAGTTTCTACACAAAATATTAATTACTTTGCTTTTCGGACAGTGAGACAAGGAGTTTTTTCGCGGACCCCTAAATTTGATGGCACACAGCAGAAAATTCTTACTGTCCTGGATGTGGTTAACAAAGTCAAACCTCCAGGATTATGGTTGAATATCCAGGTACTTGTGCAATTTTGAAACGTTTCTACATAGTGATTGTTGTCTGGTGTTAATTTATTTCAGTTTCTTTCCATCTAAACGGCTCAATTTATAGTTTGTGTTGTTACAACATATTGCTATATATCACTGCATCTTGTTAAATGGTGCCTTGAGCTTGTGTCGGTACTGCATTTAATGATCCCTTGTTTTACGAATCCCTTTTGCAGCATGACACTTTCTTCAGCCAGCACAATCTGAGTATGAGAAGCTTTATTATATCCCTGTCCAGAAGTGTTATTGTCAACTATATTTCATCACCTGAGGTGAATTTCCTCAAAAGTATTGTGTCACGATTCAATCCACTAGTTACAAAACTCGTTTTCCGGTTTCTCGGACAGGGTGACATTGAGCCTTCAACAAATCAAACATATGGTTCTTTATTGAAGAATCTCACATTTATCAAAACCTTTGCCTCTGGAATTCTTGTTCCCAAGACTTATATCTGGCCGGTGGACAACTCACTGTACTTACAGCCACATACATCACTTGTCTTAGATGCTCATAAAGAAGGTCTTCAGATTTTTGCATCGGAGTTCGTAAATGATGTACCTTTTGCTTACAATTACAGCTATGATCCTGCAACTGAGTATTTGTCCTTTATTGACAATGGAGACTTTTCTGTGGATGGAGTACTGTCTGACTTCCCAATAACTCCATCAGCTACAATAGGTAACCATGCTACAATTGATGAATAACAAAATCCATTAATGTAAGCTTGTATTGTTGCTTTCATAATTTTAGTTGCTCATTTTAGTTAATTATCTTGATTGTGAATAGTGATGACTTGTTGGGGATATCTTCAATTTACTGCAGAAGTTCATGCATTTTTCAACAATTATTTCCAGTTTGTAAATATCTTATTGTGCCCTGGTGCAAAGTAAATCTAGGTAACTCCAAACTTTCTGGAGGCTGAAATTGTACTGGTTTACAATGCGTGAATAGTTATTGGAACTGCAATTGGGGCGTTCTGGACTTTGGAAATGCATAGGCTAATCATAGAGGAACAGAAATAATATATCTTTTCCACACATATGTGAGATATGTGGAGTCAAATTCATAAGAGTGGTTGGCCAATAATATAAAGTGCAATAACTTGTTTTGCAGTGATAAGCTTTGTGCTATCCTTAATGTGAATATAGAAACAGACCTGAAAAGAAAAACAAGTAGCTTTCTTTAAGAGAAATTGATCATTGATATCAACGAGGAGATCTTGGACACACTTGATTTGTAAACGGTGTGAATTGTGATAAGTGAAGGTGATCGCAGAAGAACTCTTTTGCATTTCATATTCATGGACACTTTCAGTTGGCCTTGAAATTTTATGCTTTTTTACTTTCTACCATGATACTCATCATTATTCCCATTCTTTCTGTCCTTGCAGATTGCTTCACTCATTTGGGCAAGAATGATAAACCTCAAGGTAAGCTACTAATGTATGCTCTTATTTTTGTGAGCCTGGTATGTTGTTTTGCTCAGTAGATGGCTTTTATACCCAAAGTGTGAAAATGCAAACCATTATCTTGCAATACTTTTGAGCTAGTCCTGTACTCAAGGTTGAAATGGACTGGAAAAGGTTTCTTGAAATTTCGAATTATAGATCGGCTCTCTTGTCCAATTAAATGAGCTTATCTAGGTGGAGTTCGGTTTCAAATTACAAACCCAGCATAGAGACTCTTCTATGAAAGAATAAGCAAAGATTTTGAGAATTATATTGTCTTGGACATACTTTAGCTTTTCAAGAGAAAATATAACATGTGATGAGTCATGTGAAGCAAGCTAGCACTTTTAGAGCTTGGCGCAACGATGTGACCATTCTCATATCTCGAGGTGGATTCAGTTGTTCTGTGAATCTGACATAGTTTGACTTAAACAAAGATTCTCTTATTAATAGGCGGCTCTGCTGCTTTAGTTTTCCTACCGTGTATTTATTGTTTTCATTACAGTTTGTACAGGACAATATATCTCAATCTTTCCTCATTTCCTGTTGGCCTACAGCAAAGCTTCTGATTATCACATCTGAAGGAGCGAGTGGAGACTACCCAGGTTGTACTGATTTGGCATATACAAAAGCTGCTATGGATGGTGCAGATGTTCTTGACTGTCCTGTCCAAATGTCAAAGGATGGAATACCCTTTTGCCTGGGTTCTATTAATTTGATAGATAAGACTACAGTTGCTCAATCGCCATTCGGCAATATTGGTAGTGCTGTCCCAGAGCTTAACGTAACAAATGGAATATTCACCTTTAACCTTACCTGGGATGAGATTAAGAGCCTGAAACGTAAGTGGACCAACTTTCATTTTGTTTATTATTACTTTTTTTTGGATAATCGTGGTGTCCGGGCCGGCTTACGTGCACACCAGCCGGCTTGAGCTGCTACTTCCCACCAGCTCAAATACCGAGTAATTTTGTCCACCAAGGCTTGGACAGTTAGGAGGAAATGGAAATCACCTAGTGTTTTTTGCCTTTGCTGGGGATTTGAACCAACTTTCCTTTATAGTAATAGATGCTACAGCTTTTCAAACTAATATCTACTTGTTTACCTTAAAAATGGTAATTACAATTATATTTGATTTTGTGATTCTAAAAATACGTGATTTATTTTTATGCTAGTTGTTAGGCAGTAGATGCTAAGTGTGAGACTAGAAAATAAGATAAGACCTTGAAGACAGTGTGTCAAGTGAGCCGGATGGCTGAGAATGGGGGCCTCGAGCTGGCCTATACGGGGCTGCGAGGTCGAGCTAAGTGTTAGGCTATGCCCGGTAGATGAAGGACTAACAGTTTTGAGAGCTTTGGTAAGAGCTTTTTATGATCAATAA